GACCCCCAGCCTGATGTGCACGCATTAGGAGCGTGGGTAACAGGGACGAGTGGGGCTTCTTTTGGGCAAGTGAAACCAGATGGGGCTGGTGGGGGAGGCAGGATGGAATAGGGAGGGCGGGATGCAGCAAGGATAGGGGCCGGGCCAGAGAGGGGCTGCGGGCTCCTCCCTCCGTCACCAGGGCTGAGCCCGGGCGCTGCCTGCCCCAGTCCCCCGGTGGAGGCCTCGCACCACCCAGCCACACCCGACCTTTTCCGGCAGTCTCGGCCTCCGCCCATCCTCCCGAGCAGGACCCCTGGAGCGGCACCTGGGCCCGGGTTCCAACCGAGGCCCGCGGCGGTAAGGTCTGCAGTGGGATCCCCAGCGGGAGGCTGGGGCGGAGGACGTCCCGGAGGACGTCCCGGAGGACCGAGCTGCCACCCGACCTGCTGGTCCCTTCTGGCCCCTTTCCGATCAGGGTCCCCTCCAGGCTGCTGGACCATGCGGCTGGGGGTCAGTGGAGGGCCGGGCGGGAGAGAAAAAGGATCTTCCAGGCGTTGTCCGGCCCTGCCGGGGCGGGGCTGCAGAGTATCCAAGGCGCATGTGCATCCTTTGCGCAGCCCCGAGCCCTGAACCCTGGCCCTGACTCCGGCCCCTCTCCCATTCCGCACCGCCCTGGCAAGGGAGAGGGCCCCTGGGCGTCTCGGATGCCAAGCCCGATCTGGGTATTTGGGACCTTCGGTCGAACAAAGCGTCCTCCAAACAACGACCACCATCCCGCAGCGTGGCCAGCCCGTCCAGAGACCCTTGTGCAGAGACCAAGACAGGAAGCCCTTCCCCCAGGCCTGAGTGCCCCCCCACCACAGGAGTTCATCGTCCCCTATTCACCTCCCACCCCACCCCAGGCGCAGCCAGGTGTTCCCAGCCCCACGCCTTGCCCGGGCCTAAGTCATCAAATACCCTCCTCCCCCAGCTCATCCTTGGCGGCAAGCTGTCCCCCAAGATGCAGGGTCCTCCTTGTTCGCCTGAGTGTTGAGCTCCCAGGTCCCCACAATAGCTGAGGCTCAATCTGCCCTCGGGACTTGATCCTCCAGTGCCCTGGTCCTGTATCCCCTCCCCCAGGCCTTTATGCCCCTGCCACCAGGCCCTGAACCCTCTTTCCCCAGGCCCTTAGCATTCACCTTTTTCCAGAAGCTGAAGTCTCCCCCACCCTCTTCCAACAGGCTTTGCCCGTGAAGATGAACTGGATGGCTGCGACATGCTGGGCTTTGCTGCTGACCGCGGCCTTCCTCTGTGACAGCAGCACAGCCAAGGGTGGGCGTGGAGGGGCCAGGGGCAGTGCCCGCGGAGGGCTGCGCGGTAGTGCACGTGGGTCCTCAAGGGTGCGGGTGAGGCCTGCACCTCGCTACAGCGCTGCAGGCTCATCCCTGCGCGTGGCAGCTGCAGGAGCAGCCGCAGGGGCGGCCGCAGGGGCTGCCGCTGGTGTGGTGGCAGGCTCCGGCTGGAGAAGGGCCACAGGGCTAGGTGAACACAGCCTGGAGGACGAGGACGGAGTGTCCGGTGGCAACGGGACTGGCAGGGGCGTCTACAGCTACTGGACCTGGACTTCAGGCGTTGGTCCCAAGCAGGCCACGCCCCTCTGTCTGCTGCTAGGAAGCGCCCTTGGCACCCTGGAGCTGCAGTGGCCCTAGGCCCGGCTGGGCTAGGGGTCAGACCCAGCCCCTAGCCTGCACCATCCCTGCAGGCCCCTCAGGTCCACCCATCCCACAGCTCGGAGTGCCCCTTCTGCTGCCCATCGTCCTCGAGCCTTGAGGGCTACCTGGGTGATTCCCACCAGAGGGGGCAGCAGCTGCAGCCTCTCCTACCTGTGGACATGCTGTCTACCCTTCCCTGCTCAGCTTGTCTCTACCTGTCCATCTCTCACCCTACAAGGGGACCAAGGCCCCCCACCCAGAGGCAGGCAGCCTGTGGCTGTGCACTGTGCAGATTGCCCTCTACTCCCCAGCACCACCCACAGGGAGGTACCAAGACCAAGTATTTGGGCCACTTATGCCCACTGCCTGCACTGGACATTATAGTGTGGACGGGACGATGCTGACCAACAGGCAGAGGCCACCCTCAGATGGGCCCGGTTCTGCCATTGAGGACTCATACCCAAGGGCCTCCCACAGAAGCAGCTGGAATGGACCAAAGGATCTCAGGATTTGAAGAAGAGAACACTCAGGCTACAATGTGAGAAATGTCAGGTACTAACCACCTACCCAGCGCAGGTCCTGAGGATTTTACAGCCCAGGAATGTTCCACGAAGGAAAGCCATCCATCCCAGGAATGCCTAACATGGTTCTCATGGCTCCTGGAACATGTCCTGTGAGGCCAAGGCAGCATCCCCCTCTTCTTGGCAGATTCCCCAGAAGACCTTCTGCCAGGGAAAGGTCTCCTTAGAGCCACTTGGTTTTAAGATCACTGGACTCCTAGGACTGGGGCGGGGGGTGGGGGGGAGCCATCCAAGAGCATTCCATTCCTTTGAAATTTAGGTGCACATTTGAGGAGAGCAACTGCCAATTGCCACTAGAAAGCCCTCACTGTGCACAGGCCAAGCTACAAGGTTCCCGCCTTTCTGATGGGCAGCAGCATCTCCCGGTGGTCAGATGTTACCTTGGAAACCACTAGACCTGGCTGAAGTAGAGGGGCCTAAGTGAGGGTGTGGTACTAGTGACAGCTGATGTTCTACTCAACAAATTGAGTAAGAGGCAACAGTTCATCAGACCCATGGCTACCTGTGGTCGTAAAGGCTGACTGCGCAGGGAGGACCAGCCCCCAGTAAGTACAGCCAGGTGCCTATGTCCCTCCAAGATGACCTAGTACAGTCTGGCCACTCAGGGATATCCTGAGCTGCCACCCAGAGCAGCCTCAAGGAGACACTAGGCAGTCCTAAAAATGATTTGCCTTTAGTTCCCACACACCTAGTGCATAGACTGGCCCCTTCTTTCTCCAGGGCTCACCAACAAAGTGCTTGTGAACCCAGCTCAGGGGGATGCTGGATCTGCCAAGTTCTCTAGCTCTGGTCATACAACCAACTACCCAGGCTGGATTGATTTTTCACTTTTTTGGTACCAGGGTACAAACTTGGGACCCTATGCTTTTGAGCCAGGTGGTGGCACCACTGAGCTAAATCCCCAGCCCTGGATTGACTCTTCCAGGCCTCTGGTGCCCCTCAATGCTCTTTTGAGACCCTCGTCTGCAGCTGGACTGCCCTGGGACCCATCCCCATCCCCATCCCCATCCCCTGGGCCAAGGGACATAAGGGTTCAACCAGTGGCATAGTGCTGAGACCAGCACCTTCCCTGCTGCCACATGGCCATGGGTTAGCCTACTGATTAGGGTGCAGGCTTCAAGGCTATTGGAAAAACTCTGGGCCAAGCTTTTAGGTTGAGGAGAGCAGTAAGTCAAAAGACAGGGCTCCCTGCAGCCTTTTGTCCACACTGCCATTGCTCTCAGGGCACAACCAGCCTTGATGCTCTTCTGTCCTGTCAAGACCAAGCTCGATGTCACCAAGACGACCAACATGCCAAGGTCTAGCCTGCCTAGAGGCCTCAAAGGCAGATGAGCACCTTTTCCATTGAGTCTCAAAGACCCATCACAGCCCGTTGGCTTCTCAGATACCCACCAGGATGGGCTATACTAGATCAGACCCTCACATATCACAGAACACCGTGAGCATCACAATGTTCCAGAGGCAATGGAAACATCTCTCTATGATGCTTATGTTGCACATGAACCTGACTTCTTGAGTACATTTAGCATTTCGCACAGTCACAAATCTTTGAACAGCCCACCTGCCCATGAGGGTCAGCAGGAAGCAGAGTGCTGAGGGGCAATCTCAGGACATGTGAATCACACAAGGAAGCTGTCTGAGAAGGCACCAGTGGAAGGCCAGCTGCACACAGCAAAGAGAAGGCTGGCCAGGTGCCGTGGCCCTGGCAGGCACTCAAGTAGCTATAAATGGCCAGGCCACCACTGGACAGGTGAGGCTGGAGGTACTGACCAGGTCCAACCCCACCCAGCCCAAGAGCACCTCTTGTCTGCCCAACCTAACCCTCTCTTCTTTCTAGAAGGCAGCTGCAACAGCAACACTTCCTGAAACCTGCAGGTGTTAACGATGACCATGATGCTGGGACAGGCCCTTGGCACCTCCTCTGGTCCCCTCTGAAGCAGAATGCCATGCCACTGTCCCATTGGCTATGAGGTGCTGCCCACACTGCAACCCTCTGGCTTATGCACAGCTGAGCTGTGATCCAGCAGCCTGCCATGGAGCAGGGACCCTGGAGCACTGAGGGGACATGCAGTCCCTGGGTTCCACTACTCCCAACCCCTTGTCCATGTTTGTGTGCACATTTGATAGTGAAGTGACTGTAAAATAAATCCTCTACTGGCAGCAAGGCTCTTCCTCATTGCAGGGTTATAGGGCAATTGAGAGCTGCAATCCCTAAACTGCCCATTCCCAGCTTCCAATGGTGAGAGGGGCTTTAATACATGGGCCTAAGTTACTATGGGTATACAATGAAAGGGCCAACAAGAAATAGAACTTTTTATTTTTTGTTTTTGTTTTCAGACAGGGTCTTGCTATGTAGTTCAGGCTGGCCTTGAACTCACTATGGAGCCCAGGCTCACCTCAAACTCCTGGCAATCCTAAATCTGGGATTACAGGTGTGCACCACCACACCCAGCTATTTTAATCTTAATTTTTTTTTTTTTTTTTTGGTACTGGGGATTGAACTCTGGTCCTTGCGCTTGTGCAGCAGGCGGCAAACCACTGAGCTAAATCCCTAGCCCTAATCTTAATTTTTTAAACCTTAAATTACAGCTTTAACTCCTCTCAGACAGCACTAGGTTTTCCCTGAAAGATGCTGAGCAGGAGCCTTCTCACAGGGCCAGGCACCAAGGACTGCTTGGGACCCCACAGCCTACTGCCCATCATGAGGCTGGCTGCGATGGGCAGGACAGCACAGAATATCCTCTGGAATAGGGATCTGAGTCATGCTGACCAACACAGGCACGTCTGACCAGCTGCATAACGTCTGGAGGCCACACTCCTTCCAGCAAATTCAGGGGTCTATGTCAGCAGGGAGGCAGCCCTGCAAGATGTCACGGTCTATCATCATTGGGCCCAGCAGCCCACTTCGAAAGGTCCGGAGGAAGTCACGGGCTGCTGCAGAGTAATTGGGCTGGACAACATTCACATCACCTAGGGAAAGGAGAGTCTGGTAAGGAAGGCACCTCCAAGAAGATGGCCCAGACCTGTGAGACCCTAAGGTGGGCATAACTGAAGTCTGAAGAACGCGCATATTCAGAAGGAAAACAGATTCCAGGCACATTCCTGTCTTGCCCGCAGGAGGCTGACAGTGCTCAGCTACCTGGTCAGCCTAGGCAACTTAATGAGACTTTATCTAAAAATAAAAACGTTTAAAGGGCTGAGAGTGTAGTTTATTGGTAGAGCACTTGCCTAGCATGCATAAAGCCCTGGATTCAAAACTCAGTACCTCAAAAAAACACCATCATGTCTACCTAGCATTGCCAAGGTATGGGGGAAAAGGGCTAGTCTCACCCTCTAAATCCTGGACTATTACTTCCTCCCTCTCTAGAAACTTCCATAGCTCCCCTTCTGAGCCCCAAACCCAGGACAGTTACCAGCATGTTCCCCTCCATGTCTCCCTTCTCCCTCCCTCCTCTAGGGGTGGCTAATGGGCCTACCAGGTGACAGGGTGAGAACCCCATGTGGCCCAAAAGTGTCACTCACCTGTGCCTGTGAGCACCTTCACCTTCCGCGTTTTCCTCAGCCGCACAGCTATGGTCTTCAGCACACACTCTATGTCATCACTAGCGCCATTCAGGCCATAGTGCTGCACATACCTGCACACAGTCCACGGCCCCCAGTCAAACTTCTGAGAGGCACCATGCCTGAGAGACTCCCACCAACACACATCCCAGAGTGGCCAGCTGCTAGGACTCCTGAAAGAGTCAGACTATTTCCAAATAACTCAGTGTCCTTGTACCAAATCTCAAGAATTCTTACAGGAAGCCAGATGTGGTGGTGCATACCTATAATCCAGCACTCAGGAAGCCAAGGCAGGAAGATGGCTGTGACTTTGAGGCCAGCTGGGCTACATAGTGAGACCTTGCCTCCAAAAATCAGAAAAAAAAAAAAAAAAAAAAAGAATTCTTACAGAAAAGAAAGTAGAAGGGCTAGGGATTTAGCTCAGTGGTGCTGCCATCTGCTTTGTAAGCACAAGGTCCTGAGTTCAATCCCCAGTACCAAAAAAGAAAAAAGGAGAGACTCATCACTCAACAAGGTAAAATTCATAAAGCTTGCACCTAATCCAAAATGAACAGGCCTGCAAAGCAGGAGGCCAAAACAAAGAGGAAGAGCTAGATCTGATCCACAGATGTTAAAATAAACAGACCCAACATCAACTCAGCAATTAACAACCACATTTTACATGGTTACAGAGCTGAGACATGGATGATATGAAAAAAGGTCTAAACCAAAATTCTAGAGGTGAGAACTCTAAGGAACAATGATATGAGATGATTAGACACTATAAAGACCACTGACAGACTCAGACCAGGAAAGAGGAATCTCAGTTGTGCACAAGGCCAAGTGGCCTGGCATCCAGGGACTCAAGCCCTAGGGAACAGAATGGGGGCAAAAGAAACACCAAAAACATATGGTTCAAAATTATCCACGGGCCAGGGATTTAGCTCAGTGGTGCTGCCACCTGTCTCGCAAGCCCAAGGTCCTGAATTCGATCCCCAGTACCAAAAAAAAAAATTAGCCAAATGTGATAAAAACCACAAGGCTAGGGCCAGGGATTTAGCTCAGTGGTTCCACCGCCTGCCTTACAAGCGCAAGGACTCGAGTTCGATCCCCGGTACCAAAAAAAACACACCATTTAAAGTAGCATCAAAATTACAAGTTAAACTTTACAAAAGATATAAAAGACCTAGATTTTGAAAATTAAAAACTAAATAATTTGGGAAAGATACTGTCCTCATGGGATACTCAATAATGTTATAATATTAAGCTCCCCCTCATCCTCACTATAAATTCAATGGAATCTGCTACTCCCCCAAGAAAAGAAGGGATTTGGCAGGGAGGAGTACTAGGGATCAAACCAAGGACTCTACACTTTGCTAAGCCAAAGCTCTATCACTGAGCTACACCCTCAGCCCTAAAAGCAGGAAGTTTTGTAGAAACTGACCATCTGTTGTAAAATTCATGTAAAGGTCCTACTGCAGCCAAAGGAACAGCTACCTAGACAGTCAAACAGAGCAACAGGAGAACATGGGCATATGCAGTGACACTGATTTCCCACAAAGATGCAAGGACAACTAGTGGAGAAAAGAATACTCAGCCGGTCACGGTGGCGTGTGCCTGTAATCCCAGCATTCATGAGGCTGAGGCAGGAGGATGGCTGAGAGTTTGAGGCCAGCCTGGGCTGCATAGTGAGTTCAAGGCCAGGCTGAACTACATGGCAAGACCCTGTCTCAAAAAACCAAAGGAAAAAGATGTTTCTTGAGCAATTGATTATCTATGTTCAAAAACATAAATTCATAGTTTGTACCACATACAAAAAGCATATATATGCATATCAAAAAAGGATTGTATATCTAAGTGTAAAATCTGAAGTACAGGCTGGGGATTTAGCTCAATGGTTCCGGCGCCTGCCTCGAAAGTGCAAAGTCCCAAGTTTGATCCCCTGTAAAAAAAAAAAAAAAAAAAAAATCTGAAGTACAGTACCAGTCTTCATGAAGAAAACAGAAGAAAAAACCTCATGACCTTGGTTTAGGCAAATTTTTAGATATGACAACAACAGCACTACCTATAAAGTATCTAGTTACTAAACTGGACTTTACAAAAACTAAGAACAACCACCCTTCAATTGACAATATTAAGAGGAAGAAAAGACAAGACATACTCAGAGAAAACACTTACAATCCTTTATCTCTGATTAAGGACTTGCATCCAGAATATATAAAGAACTAAAACTTGGGGCCGGGGATTTAGCTCAGTGGCACCACGCCTGCCTTGTAAGGGCAAGGTCCTGAGTTCACTCCTCAGTACAAAAAAAAAACTCCTAAAACTTAAATTAAGAAAAAAGGGGCCAGAGATGTAGCTCAGTGGTAGGGAGTATGCTTAGCACAATGAGCTTCAGAGTTCAATCCCTAGCACTAAAAGCAAAACAAAAGAAAACAAGAAATGAAATAAAATTAGAAAAAAGAAACAACTAAGTTTTTAGAAATGGAAACAAAGATTTGAAGAGACATTTCCCCAGAGAAGATACACAGGTGCGCATGAACAGAGGCTTAGCATCATTTGTCATACAAGACACCAACAACTGTTAGGCTGCATTTAGACTGGGCACACCAAGTGTTGATGAGGACATAGAGAAACCAGAACTCTCATTCGCTGCCAGCTGGTATACAAAACAGTACAACTACTTTGGAAAATAGCACAGTGGTTTCTTAAAAAGTTAAAACATTCATCTACTATGTGGCCCAGCCATTGCTCTCCTGAAGAAAAATGAAAGTTCGTTTGACATAAAGATTTGTACAATGAGTTCTTCCCAGCAGCTTTATTTTTAATAGCCAAAGTCTGCCAACAACCCACTGTCCAACCACAGATGAAAAGGATGAACAAACTGCAGTATGTCTAAGCAATGAACAACTACTCATCAATGACAAGGAATGAGCCACCAATACATACAACAGCATGGATGAATCTCAAAACAATCAGACTTGGACAGAAAAGCCAGATGAGAGGATACATAATGTAGAATTCCTCTGATACGAAATTCTAGAAAATGAAAACTCGCACAGCAGATAGCTGCCTGAGCACAAGGAGGAGCATGAAAGGGCAAGTACAACACAAGAGACAAGGTGATGGGAATGTCCATTTGGTTGATTATGTGAGTCTCTGATGTATTCATTATCAAACTTGGCAAATGATATGCTTTTCATAATATGTAGAATATTATAATACCTTAATGGTATATTTATCAAACCCTACTTGGCTAGGATAAGTGAGCAGGGGGCACCCACCCCAAAATCACTGCCACTCACTTGAACATACGGTGCCGGTTGAGGGTGTAGAGGAGGTAGTCAGCCATGGTCTCCTCCCCAACCAGGTGATCCAACACTGTTCCTAAAAGACAGGCAGCAGAGCACAGCACATGAGACAGCTGGCATCTGCACCGCTGCCAAGCTTGCAACACTCCCAGTCTTGGCCCAAAAACCTTGTTGCTAAGGAGACTCCCTGAAGGGTAGCACTAGGCTGGTGTTCCTCCTGCCTGGAATGTGCCTTGGTCATGTAGCCTGACCTCTCTGCCCATATCTGTCAAATATGGGAGCAAAGGCCACTTTCACAAGACAGAGCTAGACCAGAACACACACGCTATGAGCCATTCTAGCTCCCTCACTTAGCTGAGAGAAGTGTCTGGCAGCAACCAGGGAAAAGGCAGTAACAATTCTGATCTGCCTAAGGACCATACCCAGCTCAGCAGTGGAGCCCTAAAGGTGGGACTGAGGGACACCCACGCCAGCCACAGCTCACCACACAGGGCCAGTTTCAAGCCTGTCTCCACACTTCCAATCTGAGGAGCCAGCACCCCAGGTGTGTCCAACAGGAACATCAGTGGCCGCTCAGATACCTGTGCAAGTAGAAGACACCAACAGATCCTGATAGCAGCCTCCCACCCAGCTGGCCCCAGGGGAGCTTCTCACACCAGGCTTCTGGATAAATAGGGGCCCTCCCCAGAGGCTCTAAGGGTGCCCTGTAAACAAACCAACCCCCACAGAGTCATCATTTTCACCAAGCACTAGTACTGCTACAACTTCATTTGGAGACTAAAGAAAAGCACCAGGTCCTGCAGAGAACCAAAGGGAAAACATGGAGAGTGGGTTCCATTCAGCTGTCTGACCCAGACCCTGACATATGATGGGAAACACGGCCACCTTCTCCACAGATTTTTGTAAGAACACAGCAGTCCCTGGCATGGGATCACCAAAGGAAAGAAGACAAGGATGGCTGGAAGCAAGGGCCACTAGCGGGCTCAGCAGGGCCAGGCATGGAGCTTGCAGAGCTCTGGGTGGAGCACCAGACATGGCCACCAAGAACCCTACCTGAATTCTGGATGTCACAGCTCTGGTGATCCCAGGCTCACCACCCACTCTGGCAGCTTTTCCTGCAGGACAGAAATAGACCATCAAATGTTCATTAACGCACAGCTATAGAACACAGAATGAAACATACATGTGTGACTAACACATCTGGAAAACGAATGGAAACTCCAAAGGTTATCATCGTCCCATGTTCAGCTCTGAACAGCTCTGGGGAGGCGCACTTTTCAAAAACTCAGGCACAGAGGCCAAGAGGCTCAACAAATGGCCAAACCTCACCCTGTAGCCCCAGGCCCCTCCCTCCTATACTCACCTGCCTCCCGGCACTGCCCACAACAGGCCTGACCAGCCGGGCCTGGGCTCTGAATGCTGTGGCTGCTCAGTGAGGGACCCAGCTCAAGAAGACTCCCCTTGAGATTCCCCAGCCCACTTCCAAACCAACTCAAGAGTAAAGGGATAGAAGAGTCTGTCACAGATGAACAAGAGATGGTACAGATGCATAGAGAGGGACTCCGCCTTAAAAAGGAAGTAATCCTGACACAGCTCCAACATGGACGAACCTGAGGGCACTGTACTCAGTGAAGACACCAATCACAAAATGACAAATATGATACAATCCCACTAACTGACATTGTTGGAGTGGCCAAACGTAGAATAGGGGTTCCCAGGGGCTACAGGAAGAAACAGGACTGCTGTCTATGCTTAGAGTTACAGTTTGAAGTAATGAAAAAATCCGAGAACAAACAGCGGGGATGGCTGCACAACATTGTGAATGCACTTAATGCCACTGAATTTAAAAAATGCTGAGGTGTGGTTCGATGCCAGAGCACTTGTCTAGCGTTCACAGGCTCTGGGTGGGATCCCCAGCATTGTATTTTAAAAAATGACACTGTTAAAGGAAAATAAACTTTAAAAAATAGAAGACTAAGCTGAGCATGGTGGGGTACACACCTGTAATCCCAGCACTCTGGGAGTCTGAGGCAGAAGGATCACAAATTCAAGCCCAGCCTGGTTGACTGAGCAAATCCTATCTCAAAATGAAGAGAAAAAAAATTTTTTTAAATGGCTGGGTGCTCAGTGCAAAGGCCCTGAGTTCAATCCTCAACGTCGCTTTTAAAAAAAAGATGACTATAATACCAAAAGTAATGATTCAATATGACTTAAAGCTCTCAGCCTTTACATTGTGAAGAACTTTCTTAATAAACATTGTATTGTTAATATGAAAAAACCCCAGAGATTTGGCACTGAACTTTATAACGCATAAGAAAAAGGCCCCACTGAGTGAGTGTTATGGGCCATGTTTTGAATTGATACCTAAGAATAAACAGGTGCCAAGTGGCTGAGGGCTCACAAAAGCAGTTCCAACACGAGTTTAGAAAACCACCAGGTGTGGTGATGCACACCTATAGTCCCAGCACTTGGGAGGCAGAGGCACGACCCTGGGCTACAGAGTGAGTTCAAATACATAGCAAGACCCTGTCTCAGAATAAAAATTTTAAAAAGAGCTGAGGATGTGGCTCAGTGAAAAAGCACTTACCTAGCATATGCAAGGTTCTGGATTCAATCCCCAGTACCACAAAAAAAAAAAAAAAAAAGAGAGAGAGAGAGAAAGAAAAAGAAGAAGAAAAGGGGAAGAAGGAAGGAAGGAAACAAGTATAAAATGTATAAGGAACGGATATCTCGTAGCCCTCAGTCGTACCCTTAACTGTCCTTTTGGCAGAAAAGAACATGAGAGATATAAGGACTGTGTCAGAGCAAGAGAGCTGGCCATGCTCTGCAGTTCTATCTCCTCTGACAAGGGCAGAGCTCAGCAGTCCAGCTCCAGGTATACCTGTCTTAAGGTGCTGTCTCCTCAGGGAGTTGATGAGGGAGGACTTGCCCACATTGGGGATACCAACCACCATGATACAGTACTCCATGTTCTGCAAAGGCAAGAAAAGAGGCTCAAACCCACAGCCCAGGGAAAGGGGAGGGCAGGGCAGAGGTTTTGCCAACTGATAGGGCTGGCCCAACCCTTCTCACAAAACAGAGGACAATAGATAAGCTTCCCTGCTGGGACAAAGCACCCTGTCCTCTGCACTGTGGCAGCCTTGGAAGGGTCAACAGGAGGGGCAGGTGACTCCAAAACCCACCTCCCAGCTCTGGGCCCTACCAACCAACCTCTGCTCGGTGGTAACGATAGCTGCTCCCAACTAGCTCAGTGATCTTCGGGATGATCTGCAACCAACCAGCCACACATTCTAGTCAAATCACCTCTCACCAGCCCACTTCCTGCCACCTCCAAATACCAGGATTAAGTGTTTTGTTTCCCTTTCCATTCATCAGTTAAGAGAACAAAGACTTCAGACTTCACTCATGAGCTGATACAGATGTGTGGCTCTCCATAATTTCTGAAGGCAACATACTTCAGCATCCAGTCCAAATGAACTGTGGCTGACCAGAGCTTGTCCATTCATGGACAAGCAAGATAGTTCCCCCAAGGTGCTTTTGAGACAGCTGTGATTGTAACTACCTTCTACAAAAACATGTATCAACCCATGAAGTCCAACCAAATACAACAGGAAATGGCTGGGTGTGGTGGTGCACACCTGTAATCCCAGCAGTTGGGAGGCTGAGGCAGGAGGATTCCCCTGAGTTCGAGGCCAGCCTGGGCTACAATAGTGAGTTCAAGGCCAGCCTGAACTACATAGTGAGACCCTGACTCAAAAAAAAAAGGGAAAAATAAGTTACTGCACTGTCTAAAAGCCTCTTACTACTTATCACTCAAGAATGATTTTGTGCTCCTTCAAAATTCATCTCAGGGGGGCCAGGGATTTAGCTCAGTGGTTCCACCACCTGCTTCACAAGCGCAAGGTCCTGAGTTCGATCCTCGGTACAAAAAAAAAATTCATCTCAGGGGGCTGGGGATGTAGCTCAGCGTTGCAGCACCTGCCTGGCAAACTCAAGGCCCTGGGTTTGATTCTCAGTACCAAAAAAAAAGTCATCTCAGGCTGTGAACATCAAGCACAAGAAACAGCTTAATTCAAGAGGCCCTGCATCCCTGAGTAACAAAAGCCAATTCTAGGATCTTCTCCAAAACTCTGCTTATTGTAAAACAATGTATTTGAAGCAGAAACATCACATGTAAACAGAAAACGGCCTACCTGCTTGATGTTTTCATCCTTTATACAGTTGGTAAAAATGGTATTTTTTAGGCCTTCTCCTTCTAAGTGATGTATAATCTTCTGAAAGACACATTCCCATTTAAAATACTAAATGAAAATATGAATAGTGTGAAATAATAAACTTTGAGGATATGAGCTCAAAGGAACACTCTGTCAGAAGCATTCACTGCTCAGAGTCAGCAAAGCTCCAAAGAGGCAAGCAAGGAGCATACACCAGCACAAAGGGGAATCCAGGCTTTGAGGGCAGCCTGACACCCCACTGGCCCCAGGGAGGAAAAGAGGGAAGGGCCTCAGAACAAGCACATAACAGGGATGTAGAAGCTTCTTTTGTTAAAAAGCACTGACATTTCTCTTGGGCCTGCAGATATCCAATGGGTTACTAAAAGCAGGATAAAAGCTTGGTATCTCTAAATTTATTTTGTATCTGTCTCCTTTGCTATTAAAGTTTGGGTCATATTCCTGCTGAGTGACCCATATGCACAAATTCATTAATCATTTAAGGAATGTCTGTCTAAAAACTGGTAATGCAAAGCTGATTAGTCTTTAATTTACCTAACTTCTCCCATGGTGACCCACCAGTCTGAGAAAGCTAGTATTGAAATAACAGAAACAATCAATCACTAATCAGACTCAGGTCTCAACTAGTAAAAGTACCTGAAATTGTGTGTGATGATAAATAACTACAACTGTAAATGCAGTGAAAACCACAAACATCATGTCTGAGAGGCCTGCCTCATCTTGAACTGCCAGAGGGTTAAAATAATCAGCTCAGCAAGCCTGCGAAGCAGCTGAGCTATCCTTGGCGAAATGCCTTCACTTCCTGATAAAGAACTTTGGTATTTAAAGTTTCCTGAAAATCAGTGGAGGAGTCTAGTGCTTGGGATTTAGGTAACTAGAATGTGCCTCTGTCAGCTAAGAAACCAGAAGGTATTATTCCTCCTAAACAAAGAAATTTCTCCAGCATTAACAACTTTTTAAAATATGACTTGAATTCAAAGACTTTAATATCTCTTTGCAAAGAACTTCTGACAGCAGAGCATGAAAATCATAGACAACATCTCAAAACAACATTTGCAGATTCCACGTTTGTTTTATCTTTGGGGCATATCCCACAGGTCATCTGTGCCTGATTCTACCTGACTCTTGTGAAACACTTTAGCTATATTGGGACTTTCCCACTCCCAGGCCTTCCACTCCAGATCAGAGGGTGTCCAGAAAGCAGCCAGCAGAAGAAAACGAGGTCAAGCTGGCAAGTGTGGACACCTGGGGAACTGCAGCCATCACAGGAGATCTCTAGGCCAGACCAGTGCTGTGTGGGGCTGCAGACATTAGTCTCATGCAGCTTTTCAAACTCAAATTAATCAAAGCTAAGTAAATGTGAAAGTCAGTTCCTCCGGTGCAGTGGCCACATGTGACCAGAGGCTACGATGTGAATAGAGTATCCATCATCTCAGAAAAGGCCATTGGACAGCATGGCTGTGGCATCACTCAGGCTCCAGTGGAACAACGACCACTTTTTACAGGAAATGTGACCATTTTGAGCATTTGGATCACAAGTTAATGTGCAAGGGAAGCATGCCATTCTGAAACCAGACTGGAATACTCCTGCAAAACCAAGAGTTGTTCCTGAAGTACAGGCTGGCTAAGGGAGTTAATATGGCACTCTTCTCTGTCAGCAACTCCTGTTGAACTACTACAGGCATCTGCAGAGAAGGCCCTTACCTGCTGCTCTGTGAGATCTGCCAAGTCCATCTTGTTGAGGACAAGCAGGTGAGGCTTCAGTCCAAGAGTCTCCTGAAATAGAGGATTTCGACCTGAAAGTGGGATGTGGCAACATTAAGGCAAAATTCCTCCAAAACTTTACCAATAGATTCAGTTATTTTGGCCTTGTTGACATTGGTCAGGAGCTAAAGGCAGAGGAAGCCCCATCTCAAAATAAAAGCAACCAGCCCAGCCCATCTTCCATCTTCCCACCTGAAAAGCTACAAAGCTGACCCAGATTCTGTCCTTCCAGCTAGGGAAACACTTTACCTTCTGCCACTGCCAGGCCAGCCAGTCAGGCAGAGCAGTGGCTGTCACGTGGCTTCCCAAATAGAATGATGGCACTAAGAACAAAATCAAAGTTCAGAGAAGGTTTTTATAACTAAGTCACTAGTTACCTGGATATAGAAGTTTTAAATGAATGATATGGTCACTCAAGAAAAAGTGACTACCATGAAGTTCTAACTAGAATATCTTCAAGCACTACTCTCCCTCTGAGACCACTAAGGACTCTTGGATGGCCACCACTAGGGGGCCAGCAGCTGTAGTCACTGGTGGGCAAGTCACTTTTTCCCCCATAGAACCATCACAGAAGATGCTGCCTCCTTACTACCGTCCTAACCAAGGGGCCCCAGGACTGATGTGGGTTCCCATCTCATGTGACACTGACATAGCAGGCAGGGGCTTATCTTCACTTCCTGAGCCTTCAGCCCTCCTGGTTCTACAACAGTCCCAAAACATGTCCAGTCTATCCACCCGGTTAGGCCATAATCTCCCACCCAAAGCTAACTTCCTTCAAGCTAACCAATCATGTATCTATCTACAAGCCTTCAAACTCCTCTCCTAGCTTGTTACAGAGGCCACTATCCAGCACAGGGCACTCACTCTTCCTGCCTAGATATGGCAGGACAGAATGTTCCAGAGGCCAAAGGAGAAAACTCCTCTTATCACACACTAAACAATAACTACAGATTTTATTTTTTTTAATAATCAGTCATATAATTGCCAACAAAAACTTTTGACCACCAGATGTCAAATCAACAAATACATCTTTACCGTGTACAGAAAAGAACCTCTCAGCAACATTTTTTCCCCCTATAATTCCAACAAGCCTTTGAAAATAGTCCCTCAGCCTGTACTATTTCCAGACTCCTGGCAGTGGAAGGGCAGTAACATTTAATCTCAGGTTTCGTATCCCACCTGAGAATTCTATTGCTGAAGCACACTAGAAAACCTGGGGAAGCCAGGAAGAGGCTGAGACAGACGATGTATCAATGGAGAGTGTTAAAAAAGCATGTGGCCTGGACCCCATGCCAGATTCTGGTCAAGTGTTTAAAAGCCTCCCTGGTAATTATAAGGTGTAATAAAGACTGCAGGCCACTGATGTGACATGTTATGGTGCTCGCACTGTAAGCAGCTCACTGGACTTAAACCAGGAATGTTTCCTGCTGGCTCCTGCTCATCCTACACCATGAAAGGATATTCGGGAGTCATGGACCTCGATGATACAGTCCACCAGCTTCAGACTACTCTGCATCTTCTTCAGCCCTGGAAAACAGAAGGGTACTAAGGGACGTGCAGAAGGGCAGATTTAAGCTGGCAAATCCAAAAGCAATCTAAAATACATCAGACTGAAGCACACTTAAGCCTTGCCAAAGGGGCAGCAGCATGTTAAGCCAGGTCCTAACACGACCCTGGATGACTCTGAGAAAACACTCCATTTCTATGGGTTTTGCGTCTCCGATATGCAACAGATTAGGCCCTTGATAGTGTGTGGACATGATGAATAGGTATCGACCTCATCCTCTCGCCAGGTACACAAACAAAAGCAGCACAGCTCTAGCTCCAAGGTTGCAGCTGGCCCGCCCATGGACCCCAGCTCAACTTGGCCAGGGGTGGCAGCAATCGGATGCGCAGGGCCGCACCATGCTAGCTGTTCTCTTGGAGCCAAATGTTGACGTATCAACAACAGGAAGCCCCTAAATATGCTGAGGCAGGAGGAAAAATGGATTCGAGAAATCTAAAGGTGCTGGGACAACAGTAGAGACACTGCGACGGTGGCTCCCACCGCTACTCTAAATGGCCTTAGAGTAAGGGCACGCAGCACCTGAGGCTGGGGAGGCCGCGCAGGGAGGACGATGGGGGATGAGGGCCGGACCAAGCATCGCGCTAGACCTCACCCTTGGCCATGTGGCCTGGGAACCAGCGCGCCACGTCGCGGCCGTGTAAGGGAAAGCACTCGCGCCAGGCGGCCACAGCAGCGCACAAGGAGCGCGGAAACAGCCGCATGGCAACACGTCCCGGAAGCGTTCCGCAGTCCAGCCTCTTTCGGGCGCTCGATCAGTCCCAGCGGTTCCGGCGCTCCACAACTACGTTGCTGCGCGCGCGCATAACGCTGCCTTGGCGTGGGGCGGGGGAACCGGAGTGAGGCGGAGCCCCGGGTTGGCGGTGTCTAGGTGGGCGGGGCGGGACTAGAGCCAATCCGGACCTGTGAGATCAGTCCCTTCTCAGGGTCCCTAGGTTTTATGGAGTTTTAAAAAAATAATCCGGAGATTAATCAACATGTTAAATCTTAAAAGTCCTGGGGCTGGGGGGTGTAGCTTAGTAGTATAACACATTACTGTCATGAGACTCTCAGCCTTCTACTCCTCCCACGCAGGAAGAATAGCGTGGGGCTGTCTCTTTAGAAACAGAAAAGTCTCCCAAAGAAACATGGATTGATGAAACTAAAAATGTCAACAATAAAAACCTTTACCCTTGAAGGAAGCTGAATTATTTCATAGTCTTAGTATCATAAATTACAATAAAACCCTACTGGATTTCTCCCACATATTGGTGACCAGTCTCGTGATACATGGCAGAAAGCACTCTATAGATCCCAGATAGATGACATCAGCTTTTATGGGGAGACTCTAGGAGGTGGCAATTTGAACCTAGACCTGAAGGATGAGAAGAAAGGAGACCAGCAGAGTTGGGCTGGATTGCTGGGCCAAGGTGTAAGCCTAGCAGTTTTGGAGATAAATGTGCCAGACTGAAAGCAACCCTCTGAGGCCCTTCCTTCCAGCATTAGGAACCAGAACCCAGAGCCTAGCCCCAGATGGGGCAAGAAACAGACTACCCTGCAGGGGAGAGACCAGTGCCCTCCAGCAGCCCCACAGAGTGTGGAGGTAGAGTGCAGGCCTCTCTGAGCTCCCTCACCTCCCTTTGGAGTGCCATCCTCCAGCGGCACCCACTTCCCTTCCATCCTCAGCACGCAAAGAGAAACATTTAAACTCTCATGGTAGCTGTGGCACGGTCAATTACTAAGCCCAAGTGTTCTGTGTCTTCTGCAGTGAAAATTTTACAGAAAGCTAAGTTAGATAGAGATTAACAGGCAGTCAGACGGGTGATTCCTTGAGGGAGCAGTGCAGAAGATGAGAACACATTGAGACACAATGACCAGGTCTGCATGCCAATCTAAGAAATAAACAAAGATTATACTGTAATTAGCAATACCCGGTCTGTAAGTCCAGATAGGCATCAGACACCTAGGTGGGTGACCAGAACATCCAGACCAATCCTTGCATCCCTTCCTGTCCCTTTCTAAAATAATTCCTTTGTTAATGTTAGAAGTCATAGGGAAGCAAATGTTAATGATGACTGCCATTACACTTGCTTTGTGCCTCACTTCCCTTTTGGATCAATATTACCTAAGCAGCTATACTTGTAATCCTACAGGTTGACTGTAGCTTGACCCACGTTGTACCCAAATTGTGACTTTGCTGTATATTACCCCTAACAAAGGGCCTCAGTGGCCACCCCATTCAAGACCCCTCCTAGAAATCCAGGAGCTATTCTCTATTTCCAATAAAACACTAACTTCTTCCTTTGGTTCTCAACTTCATTCCTCAGCACATTTGACATCTATGAGGTCGGGAGTTATTTTTCTCCTGTATCAGAAAAAGGAACAACATGGTCTAGTCCCTAGATCTACTGTGAGGATGCACTGATACCAAAGAGAATACCAGGAGACCCACCCAACACGCCCTGCTCCCCAGTAGGCTCACCATGCCAGCCCCAATACCATCCAGCTTCCCAGGGCTACCCCGCTGGGCCTGCTCAACCTGCCTCCCCACACAGTCTTTATTTTCTCCAGAAAATCTCAAGCCCCAGGTCAGGATGGAGTGCCCCTATACATCACTCACCTCAATTCTTCCCCTTTGCCAAGACCACTGTGCAGTCGGCACCTAACACAGTGTGTGTCGATGAGCAACAGGAGGTTTGTAGTCCACACTATGGTCACAGACATGAGCAATGGGAGCCAGGGGCAGCACCTCATGTTGCCAGGAACAAGGGGCAGCCATAGGACTCAGGGCCCAGGGAACCCAGATGGAAGGGCCACATACTGTAGGAACAAGGGGTCAGAGACACAGGGCCCCAGCATGGCCTGGGGCAGGATGAAGACAAAGGCAATAGATGTTGCTGCTCTGTGGTTAAGGACAACTCTGAACAGAAGGTGTTGATAACTGCTTTATGTGCAAACCATCACCATGAACAGTAATATCCCATACATCACACTCAGCCCAAGATCAGTCCTGGCCAGACTCCTTTGACAGATGTGAGAGATGAGAAGGTGACTGACTCAGTTACCCGAAAAGGACTGTCAGTGAGATCCCAAAATCTCAAGTCAGACTGAAAATCATCTGTCAGAGAAGAGGAGGGTCCCAGCCTTCCATCCAGAAGGAGGACAGCCAGTAGGAGCCCAGCTCAGAGCCTGGGCCGGGTCTGCTGCATCTTCAGGTCCCACAGACCAATGAGGCGGTCAGCCTCTCTCCAGCCAGACAGCAGGGCTCCATGTGTCGTGGAGTAAAATGTCCGATGCGTGGCTTCCCCTGCAAATAGTATCTGGAGCTGCAGAAAAGCAGGATAAGAATAGGGACATGATTGAGATAGCTAGCAGAGAAACATTCAGAAAACAAAGCCCCACACACTCCCATGCACAAACGGGTGGGAAGACACTACTGCCTTTGATCATGCTGGTATGAATGGTGCCTAGAGAAACAGAGATTAGGGCACTGCATTGTGAGTGAGCTCACCAGAGTTAATGAATCACCCCTGAGAAGGTCAGGGAGACTTGACAGCCAGGGTGGATGGAAGAATAAAAAAATTTATAGCCAGCCAGGGATTTAGCTCAGTGGCACTGTGGCTGCCTCGCAAGTGCAAGGTCCTGAGTTCGATTCCTGGTAATTGAAAAAAAACAAAAGAAATGTAGACCTTATTAGCCATGGCAAAAGCCAGTCAATTACACCTAAAACTGAAAATTCAAGATTGATATGACCAATAAGCAAACTGAAAAGAGAGATATATGATGACTTTCTAGTCTGAAACTGAATACTGAATACCAAATAACACTGAGGAATTATTCTTAATTTTTGAGTGTGGTAATAATATAGTTACATATTTTTTAAGAGTGTGTCCTTATCTTTTAGAGGTGCATGCCAAAATATATGCACATGCTCAGTAACAATAAGAGAGGGGAGCAGGAGGAGCCTGCTGAGGCAGGGTAGGTACTCATTACTTCTACCTATTTTTGTGCGCATTTGATGTTTTCCATAATGACATTTTTTGAAGGGCCGGGGATTTAGCTCAGTGGTTCCACCGCCTGCCTCACAAGCGCAAGGACCCGGGTTCGATTCCTGATACCACAAAAAAAAAACAGTGCAGATGTTTGGGGCCAGGGATTTAGCTCAGTGGTTTCACCACCTGCTGCGCAAGCACAACAATCAGAGTTTGATCCTTGGTACCAAAAAAAAAAAAAGAAAAATTTTTTGAAGTGGTAATATAACCTTGTACTTTTTTTTTGGTACCGGGGATGGAACTCAGGTCCTTGCGCTTGCGAAGCAGGCGGCAAAACCACTGAGCTAAATCCCCAGCCCTACCTTGTACTTTAAAGATATGATAAATTTACAGATCAGAATTGGCTGTGAGGCTGGGGCTATAACTTGGTGGTAGAGCAATTGTCTAACATACGCAAGACCCTGGGTTCAATCTCCAACACTATAATATAGGGGAAAAAAATCAGTTGGAAGGACAATCTGGGAAGGAGACAGGTGCCTCCACCAGCTACAGTACTTCTGTTTCATTTTATTCCGTTAACCAGCACTGTAGAATTATATGGTTCTTTAAGAGAAATGTAAAATTCTGATACTACTAATACATTTTAAAATCATTCTTAATTTTGGAAAGAAAATGGCTTCTGAGTCTGAGAGGACCCAGTCTCACCCACCTCTTCCTCAGACTCCAGCCCCTCTCAGTCTCAGCAGCGGGCTTCCACACCCAGGGCCTGCCATCATACCTGGGGGCCAGTGCCATCTTCAGGGAGAGGCTGAGCCAGCAGGTCTATGTCATCCCCAGTGCTGCCCACAGCCACGTAGCTGTAGGAACCCCGAGTATATGGAGCACTGTGCCAGCGAGACCTCAGTATACTCTTGGGAGCAGGAAGCTGTGGGTTTCCTGAAACAGAGATATGGCACATTAACCCAGAAGTCTCACGCATGTGTCAACAATCAGTTTTTCATTTTAAAGATTTAGCAGTTTAGCCAGGTGTGGTGGCACATGCCTGTAATCCCAGCACTCAAGAGGCTGAGCAGGAGGATCACAGAGTTCAAGGTCAACCTGGGCTACATAGTGAGTTCAAGGCCAGCCTGGACTGCATAGCGATATGCTGTCTCAAAAAAAAAAAAAAAAGACTGAGTAGTTTAAAATGAAAGAAAACCATGCCACCAAGTGTATTCCTAAGAAGCTGCCTTACCTGCTCTACTGTGCACTGCAGAGGAACAAGCAGATGCTATTATGGCTTAGATCTAAAAAACCCCCTAGAGGGTGTGGGGAGAAAAGAACCCTTCTCCATTGTTGGTGGGAGTATAGACTGGTGCAACCACAGTGGAAATCAGTATGGAGATCCCTCAAAGAACTAGGGCTAGAGGTCCATTTGACCCAGCTAGTCCCTGCTGGGTATCTTCCTCAAAGAATTAAAAGAATCATACCACAGCGATACATGTGCACCCAAGTTTATAGCGGCACAGTTTGTAATAGCTAAAGCTTGGAAACAGCCCAAGTGCCCATCAACTGGAAACTGGATAAAGAAGATGTGGTTTTTTTATAAAATGGAGTACTACTTAGCCATAAAGAACAAGAAATTAGAGACATTTATAGCTAAATGGATGCATATCAAGGCCATATTCTTAAGTGAAATCAATAGGATACACATGTGTAAATACCGAATAGTTTCTCTAGGGTGAGAAACTGAAAGTGTAAATAAGGATTAAAATGATTAAAATGAATAATTGATACTTTGAAATAGGAAAAGGTCCAAAGGTGTAGGGGTGGTGGGAGGGGAAGGGGAAAAGGAAAGGAGAGAAAGGAAAAATTATGAGAAAAGAAAAAAAATGGAAACGAAATCTATGTAAATAGGGAAGGGTGGAGGGGGTGAAGGGCGCACAGGTAATGGGGAAAAAATAAGAACCAAGATACATTATCTATAGGTACAAGCACCCAGTGATAAATGTATTGTATACCTAAAATGCGCCAATAAAAGAATTTAAGGGAGCCGGGATTTAGCTCAGTGGTTTCGCTGCCCGCTGCACAAGTGCAAGGACCCGAGTTCGATCCCCGGTACCAAAAAAAAGAATTTAAGGGAAAAAAATACCCCCTAGAAATCTGATGCATTCAAAGGTAGGGTTTTCAGAAAGTGATTGAATCATGAAGACTCTAACTTTAGCTGTGGATTAATCCATTGGTAAGATCATAATTTGACGGCACTGATAGGTGATGGGAACTTAAGTGATGGGACCTAACTGAAGGGAGTGAATCATGGAGATATGACTTTGGGGACTAGATCTTGTCCCTTACCCTTCCTGTCCAGCTCTTTCCCTCTCTCTATTTCTTGGCTCCCAAGAGGCGAGCACCTTTCCTCCATCTGTCTGCCATAATGGTTCTGCTTTGTCCCAGACCTAAAAGTAATGGAGTAAGCCAACCTTGGACTGAAACCTCTGAAACTGTGAGCAAAATAAGTCTTTCCTCCTTTAAGTTTATTTTAGTAGGCATTTTGTTGCAGTGATCAAAAACTGATTAACACAGACATCAACAGGCAACAGCACTGAGCCTAGCACTTGGTTAACTTAATTGGCCCGTGGCTGCCTGGACAGATTTTCTAAGCTTCACTTCTTCATTTGAAACCATTTGGTTAAGGACAACTGCATTTCTTTTGTGACACATTTTAAAGAAAACAAGTAGAAAGTATTTTCAAAGTCATTATACTTCCTTGACAATCAAAACTGTTACTGGGGGCCAGGGATTTAGCTCAGTGGTTTCACCACCTGCTGTGCAAGCACAAGGACCCGAGTTCGATCGCCGATACCAAAAAAAATGCTATTAAAAAAAAAATGGGGCCGGAGATTTAGCTCAGTGTTCTACCACCTGCCTCACAAGTGCAAGGACCTGAGTTCAATCCCCGGTACCCAAAAAAAAAAAACCTGTTACTGACTACACTACTATGAGGAAAGGTTGTGGTGATGTGCAGCAGAGTTTAGTTCTTCTTTGTTCTGAAAAGTTTGTTTCCCATTTAGAGATCAGCCAATAGCAATACTGCTGTGATTTCCTGTAATAAGTAAGTACCTGTCATTTTCTGGAGCACTTGGGTTAAAGAGAGAAGCACTTCTTCATCGGACAAAGTCTCCATAAACTCTGACTCCAGCCCAGCAATGAACCCACAGAGCACATGCACAGACCTGTGTGGAAAGAAGAACCACTGAGATGAGCTTCAGTTAGCTCAGCTCTGCCATCATCTGTCACAAAGACCCACAGCTCAGCGGCACCTCAGAGCTTGCCCAGGGCAGCTGTTCTCAAAGTGTGAACCTTTTTTCACAACACTGACACAGCATTTGCACCTTCACTATATCTCCATTTGCACCAACGAGGAGGGGCACAGGTAGGTAAACTGTCCTTCACAGAACAGTGGCAGAGACACAAACTGCACTAGCAGGGCCATGTTCTTTACCACCACATATGTGGTTTAAAGAAAAAGCTGCAGTTTCACTTGAGAAGGCCCATGATGAAGCAGTAAAAGTTACTGATTTTATTCAATATTCACCCTTAAGTATCATTTCCAATAATCTGTGTGAAGAAATGGGAAATAGACACAGGCACTTCTGCTGCACATGGTGGTGATGACTGCCCAGGGTAGCTGAACCATGAGCTTTCTCGTGGGCACCATTTCTACCTGAAGAACACCTGACAGACAAGCTATGGTGTTTAGCAGACATTTTCTAAATGAGCCATGTGTTTCTCACAGAAAAGCAATAGGCAAACATTAGTTATTGATGACAATAAAATTTAACCTCTCAAGCAAAAACTTGAATTTTAGAAAACTTGTATCTCCCACCAACAGTATAACAGCTTCACAATACCGAAAGACATTTCTGATCAGTGGTGATATTAATAAATTTAACTTTTTTCTGCATTGAAGTATTGTCTCCCCTGGTGGTCAAATCCATGTTTTAAATTTTTTCTTTATCTACAAGCCATAACTTCCTACAGAATTCCAATAAGTACTTTCTCATGGATTGAATATTCCTCCAAATTACAAAATATGTCAACATAGGGAAGACTGCACAAACCATATTTTCTGAATGACAGAAATCAGGATAGGCAAAGATCCATTCAAAGTGCCAGACAAGCAAACAGACTTCAGTGGAACAAAGTACAAAATTCATCCCTACAACCTTAGATTCCACATCTGGCCAACCTCTAAGAATATCATGTCTTGAGTTTGGTGTCATCCCAAAGAAATCCACAACCATCTAAAACACTATTTTAATATTTCTACATTCTTCCAACTGTCTATCTGTTCCACAATAGGAAAAATGTAGAATCAATTCTGAGAATCCAGCATCTTCTATGTGGCCAGACATCAGAGATTTGGAGGCAAGTCAAAACTCTGTCACTCTTCTCATTAAATTTGAAAAAATATAGTTATCTTTCCTTTTTAAAATGTTACTTATGCTAACATACAATAGATTACTCTCATCTTAAATAAGAAATATCTTAGGGCCAGGGATTTAGCACAGTGGCACCATGCCTGCCTCACAAGTACAAAGTCCTGAGTTCGATCCCCAGCACCGAAAACAAAAAGAATATCTTTAAGTTGCTGTTTAAGTTTCTCATGTACATACACATATTCCACATAAACAAATGCTTTTTTTTTGGTACAGGAGATCGAACTCAGGACCTTGGGCTTACAAGGCAGGTGGCGGAACCACTGAGCTAAATCCCTGGCCCACAAATGCTCTTCGAGATGCTACGCTTTTTTTTTTTTTTTTTTGCAGTGCTGGAAGTTGAACCCAGGGCCTTGCACATGCTAGACAAGTGCCCCATCACTGAGCCACATCCAGCCCTATCCTAAGCATTTTTAAAAGGGATTCTGAGTCACAAACTTGAGAACTACTGTCCTTCTGTACACAGCATCCTAATAAGTTACTTAGTGTTTCCAGAGCCTCCGACCCTAAACACATCCTAAACACCAAGATTCAGGCTGCAGAGGCAGGTCTGGAATGGGTGGCTGGGTCCAATGGTCACTGGTTCCAATGGCTACTGCAATCCTGAGCCATTTCCAAACTCCTGGAACTTCAGTCTCCTCTTCAGTGAAATGGGACAGACAGGCTCCCTCCCTACCAGTGGGAGGGCTGCTCTGAGGCCACAGCCTCCTGCTCCCTTGACCCCTAGTCTACCTTTCAGGCTAAGAACACAGCCCCTCTCCTGCCACATCTCTGAACAGAACGTGGAGTTCTCTCTGCCATCTGACCACAGTACACTGGCTGTGTTCTGATCTTGCCAGGTCTCTCATCCACATAACATGCATAGTGTTATTTTCTGAATTCGTTCCTGGGTTCAATCCCCAGCCCTGGTCCATATATGCTGCTTTGTAGACCAGCTGGGCTACTCAGCTGAGCCCTTCACCCATAGGTCTTTGATTCCATTGCTTAGGATCTTTTGCTCAATTTCTGCATTGAAGTATTGTCTCCCCTGATGGTCAAATCCATGTTTTAAATTTTTTCTTTATCTACAAGCCATAAGTTCCTACAGAATTCCAATAAGTACTTTCTCATGGATTCAATATTTCTCCAAATCCTCCAGCACATTCTAGGCCACTAAAGATGCTGACAACCTCCATACAATTAGCCTTCATCTGTCCCTGTAGGGTACTAGGCCCAGGTAATCTATAGGGAGCATCTTGTAGGCTTATGTAGTGACAGACACCTGCTGAGGACACTGTAAGAGTAAATGAGATAACAGAGGCAGTGATCCCTGTCTGCAAGGTCCACATGAAGCAGATGTCCAGCCCACAGCAATTATCCATTAAAGCCTCAAAAATGCTTGGCAGTGAACCACACACAGCTGAATCTCATGCAAATTGAAACCTTGAAAATAGGCCCAGATGCTTCCTCAGAGTCTTTGGACACATACATACTTGAAAGAAGGTAGGACCAAAAACCCAATGAGTTTCTTGAACCAGGTGTCCTGCAGCCCAGAGGCAATGTCGTGCAGGGGCGACGTGTCCTCCCACACCACCTGGATGAACTGGCAGTCTGGCTCCCAGAAAGGTTCCTGAAACTCCAGGAAGACTTTGTTGTTGGTCCCAAAGCCTATTTTCCTGATTGCTTCCACTTTCGCAGCAGGCAGTGGTGGTTCAAAGAAGGTCCCCTGATGCTCTTTGAGAAAACCTGTAATTCATTAGGTGTGCATTAAACTAGAATCCACAGCAACTGAATCCCATGATTCCACTAAGAGGAGTGAAAGAGGCTTCTAAGCATGCCATGCATTCATTCAGGACCAGAGGTTGCAGAGAAAAAGTCTGCCAGCAGGACTCAAGGGCAACTAGCACCATACTAGAGGGACATGACAAGCCCATTCACCACCACTGATCACACAGGGACAGTTACGATGACTTTGTACAGACGGCTCTGCAGGGACAGTTTACTCTGAGCCTCTGCCTCTCCACTCTGTAGGTTACATGCTTCAGGATCAGTCTGAAGTAGTGGCTGAATACATAGGCTTCATCCAGAAGATAGATACAAATATATATATTTTTTTCCTTTGTGGTGCTAAAATATGCCAAACACTCTATCACTGAACCACATTCCTAGCACACTAAAAACTTATATAAAGATTACTTTGCATGACAAAACAATAAATAAAGCTGGGTGTGGTGGTACATGCCTGTAATCCCAGCACACAGGAGGCTAAAGCAAGAGTGTCACAGCTAGAACCAGCCTGGGTAACTTAGTGAAATCCTATCTCAAAATAAAAATAAAAAAGGGCTGGGGATGTGCCTCAGTGGTACAGCTCCCTGGTTCCCACCTCCAGTACCGCAATAAATTAATTAAACGCAAAGGCAGACAACAAAAAGATGAAAAACAACAACAAAGTGGGGACAGAACATTTGCAACCTGAGGTAAAAGCCAATTTCCTGAAGGTACCCACAAAAGTCAGTAAAAAAAGGAAGAAAAACCTAACAGCAAACCAGCAAAGTCATCAAGAGGCAGTTGAGACGGGATTGGCTCATGGGAACATACACAGGGTCACTCTGTTCAGATCTTTGACCAACAACTCCCACAACTAGAATCTATCCTTCAGATTTAATGACACAAGTGCTTTCAAATGCAAGGATAGGCACCAGGTAAAAAAGGCAAAGTGAGAACCACAAACCTTCACTAATATTTATAAAATGACATCCAGTTACAAGAAAATGCTATGTGACGTTAAGAACAGAGAAGAGTGCAGAACTGTTCCTTGTGAATGCATCAACACAGTGGTCATAACTATCCCCACATCCCCAGGGATCAGCAGTTGACAGGCTCAGTGAACACAAACTGCAAATATGAGTGAACAAAGGCACTTCTGTGTTCAACAATAAGACCATGTGCTGATTTGGAGACACAGACAAAAAGCTTCATTAAAAACAAGGCAGCTCAAAAAAAAAAAAAAAAGGCAGCTGCCAAAAAAAAAAGCAAGGCAGCTGGGCATGGTGGCACACACCAATAATTTCAGCACTTGGGAGGCTCAGGCAAGAGGATTAAAGTTCAAACCCAGCCTGGGTGGAAAACATAGTGAGATGGTCTCAAAATAAAAAATAAAAAGGGCTGGGAATGTAGCTCAGTGTGAAAACCATGGGTTCGACCCCTAGTACTGAAAGAAAAAAAAAACAAAACACTAAGACAGACAGGAACTAACATGTCTAGTAGCGTGATTCATCTGTGCAAAGGACAGTACAGTGGAGTGCCACACGGGCTCAGGGCTCCTGAAAGGATACACATCAATGTGACCACAGCCAACCCCAGTTGGCAGATACCCCTGCCTTTTATCTCACAAGCTTACCAAATCCTGACTCCCATACTTATGGCACTTGCCAACTTCGTGACTTGGACAATTAAGTGATTTCTCTCTTGCCTAGAAGATCCTCACATCTGTCTTAACAGCAAGTAGACTTCTTAAGGCTGGCATGAGGAGTAAAAGAGAAAACACAGGCAGCTCCCTGGGTGTGAGGCCCACATGAAGCAAATGTCCCATCCACAGCAACTACCCTGGACACTGCCCCATCAACCATCCCTACCAGTCATCAAATGGCCAAACAACTTCTACTCACAGATATAAATCGAAAGCACCAGATCTGGAATTATGTAGAATTACACCTATGGCTCTTCTCATGGATCATCACCAGACCTAACCTGGAGACCAGGGTCTACCTGCCCTATTTAGTTCCCTAGAAAAAACAACCATGCTAATCTCTGGGGGTCACGCCAGTCTTTTTCAATAAGCTCACCGAGTTACTGTGCAATGAGCAAGACAAAACCTTGTGTTTTCCCTTAATGTGAAATCCTTAATTCCAAAATATGCAGTGCTATAAAACATGATAAAAGGGCCGGAGATTTAGCTCAGTGGTTCTGGTACCTGCCTCGCAAGCGCAAGGTCCCAAGTTCGATCCCTGGTACCAAAAAAAAAAAAAACATGATAAAATAGTTCCTTCCACCTATCTGGAAATTATTAAAATAAAAATGTGAATTTAGCAGCCAAGCAAACGCCCGCAAAACCTGAGGCTGGGTGAAGCCAGAGGCCAGAGTGCCTGGGATAAAGATTGGAACTGAAAACCTGACCAGAAAAATGAGCTCTACCCAAGGGCACAGTGATGACGACGTGATGGGCTGGGAACTGGCCACCATCATCACACTCCACCAATACAGGAAAGGTCTCCCCGGGAAATGCTGCCTCTTGGAAGGACCCGTTCCAGCGAACAGTCTTCACAGGCTTGTTAAAAACCATCACATCCTTTGGCAAGGAGCCCATTATGTGGTTTGTGAGTCCCTGGTAGCCCCTAGGAGAGACACAAATTGATAATGTTTAGTGAGCCAATCCCTGGAAGGGTAGGATAGGCAAAAATCAGCCCTCCAAATTCCCACCTATGTCAAAGGGAGCATCACTCAGGGGCAAGGAAGAGGGCAGGTTCAGGGTGGGGGTGCTATAGTTTTCCCTTAAAACGCAGGAATGTTGAAACCCCCTTCCTGGCTAAAGGGAGGCTTAAGTGAGCTAATGAACACAAAGCTGCCAAGGTATTCATACAAGACCCAGGGCTCTCTCCTTACCCACACCAGAGTTCTGATTCTGGGAATTTTTGCATCACAAATGCCCATCCCATCCCCTGGGCAGGAGCCCGAAGGCTGATAACTGGGAGAGTTCGATGAGACAGTCCTGCAGGGGATCTTGTATGTGCCTGCCAAGGGCAGCACCCTGCCACAAGGAAGGAGCCTATCTGAAACCCCTCACCTAACACTTGACACAACCAAGGCTTCAGGAAATACAGAAAGGAAAGGCATTTTAAGAAAACCTTTCTTTCCCAATCACTTCCTTAAAAATAACTTTTTGCTTAAGTGGGCAGACTAGGAAAAGAGCAACCAGTTGCTCTGAATGACAAGTGCAAACACTTCTTGTCACTCCCCACATCACTCCTCTGCCTCCCAAAGCCAGAGGGCAGAGCCCAGCCAGCCCCTTGACCCTGAGGTACAGTGAGGGCTCTAGGGCAGGCAGGGCCTGGTCCCATACCCAGAGAAGGTGCAGTCCAGCCCCGGCAGCACAGTGTACTCCCCAAAGGGGGCAAGAGCTACCAGATCCATGCTATGGGTGCCACTTATGCAGCACTCCACATTGAAGAAGGTGTTCAGGATGGCCAACTTGAGATTCTTGGTGTCCTCGTCCTCTGTCCAGTGGGCCACGTGCTGGCCGATCTCCTTCTTGAGGTACTCCCCGACACTGGGCACTGGGGTCTCAGCCACATGCAGAAACTCTCGGGTCTGGTCTATCAGCTCATAGAACAGACTGGCCATCTCTGCCACCAGCTCAAGGCTCACCCTTGTCCCAGAGCTGGTGCAGCACATGGAGGGCAGGGCTAAGTGGCCCCCTGTATCCACCAACTGGTTCTCCTCCGACAACTCCTTCTCGCCCAGGAGCCCGAAGGCAGCAGCCAGCTGGAAGACAGGGTTGCCCTGGGAAGGCCCATGGATCCAGTGTGCACCCACCTCCACCATACCACCTGGGAAGGCAAAGAGATGATGCCACCTGGAGGTCCTCTCCCCAGAGAGGTCACTCCACCCCTTCCAGACCAGACTGTCCTGCCCTTCCCAAGTGTTTTAGAGACTACCAGATACTGTCCCTGAATACTACGTGGTCTCCAAAAGCAGGTTCCCCCAGACCTGCTTTAAGCACCTGGGGAGAGATCTGGCCTGCACCGGCCTTGGGAGGACTCTTGTAGGAACAGCTTAGGGGAAGAAGAGGTACCTAAGGGTCCCCAGGTCTTTGTGGGAGGGGGGCACTATGCAGGGACCTTGGCTCCTTTCCCTACAGGCACTCCACTAAGTTGGAGCAGCTGAATTTTGGGGCCGAGGGGCTACGTGGGGCGGCCTTCACTCGGAGAGGTAGGTAAGACTTCCAGAAAAGGGCCCCGCCGGGCTTGGGCACAGTCAGTTGGGTTCAGAGAAGGGGTCAGGGCAGTTACCAAAGCCGCGCTCCGAGCGGATGCGGCCCCCGGCGCGGGCCGTGGCCTCCAGGATGCGCAGGTGGGGGGCAGCAGGGTGACCACACAGCCTCTGCGCTGCACCCAGCCCCGCGATGCCGCCGCCCACCACCAGCACCCGCGGCCCACCCAGGGTCTCTCCGCCGCCGCCGCCTGACGCCATGATGTCCCCAGAGACGTCTCCCGGCTCTGGGGCTCGCGATAGACAGGAGGTGGAGGCGGGGCGAGG